ATAAAGAGTGTTTGCAATAATGATATCATCTTCATATTAAACCATCAAACCAGCTATCAAACAAACAAACGAACAAACAAACAGTTGAACAATCCAGTGAGCAGGTGAACAAAAATAAATGGAAAAACAGATAGACAAACAGATGGAGAAAAAATAAGTAGATGAGCAACCAGATAAATAAACCAAACAAACAACTAGATGAACAAACAAACAACTAGATGAACAAACAATAAGCTAGATGAACAAACAGCTAGATGAACAAACAATTAGCTTTACGAACAGACAGACAACTAGACGAACAAACAAACAATCAAACAAACTTTTCCAATGCATTGTTTTAGGAAGCTCCAGAGACTGAAATCATTCCTTGATAACATTTCAGCTGGGAGATGCGTCCTGAGTTCAAAGAATATGTCAATAATGATGATGATGATGGGGTGGTGGTGTTGTATTATCATCATAACTGCCACCATCATCATTTAATATGTCATCATCATTATCACCACAAACGTCATCATCCTGTTCCTCCTCATTATAATCGTGCAACATATTGCAATGATAAGTGTCATAACATCAACATCAGCATCATAAATCATACTTACTAATCGTGAAACAACAAAGTCTGTCGCAATCATTCTCGTCATTTTATAACAAATAGTTTTTGAAGATCATGATCATCATCATGAACATATGTCATCATCATCATCATCATCATCATCATCACTAAGGTCATTATTCAGTACATTGTACTTAATATAAATTTATTTACCAACATCTACCATCATGCAGTGAAAAGTTATCTCAATTAAGCACTAAACTCAAAACTATAAAATTGTTGTAAGCCAGAAAATGGATGTAAAATCTATCTGGACTTTTTGTAACAAAACTGTAAGTAAAAATTTTGTCATTCAAATTTCAGTTGAGGATGCAGTCCCATTCAACAACCCTTAACTCCACTTAATCCCATAGACATACTAATTGACATTTTCAGGACTTGCATGTTATGACATTCTCTAAGCAACTTTCTTGGACATCTATGTTTAAAACTTCTACTTATATTAGTCACTAATGTTTTAATTTTTTGTAAGTGTGTATGTAAATATTTGCATTGTATTCATGTCCAAAATACCCACTAATAATGTTATTACTACAAATTTTGCTCATAAAATATTTCAACAACACTCCTGCTTATTTCATTTCCTTTAATGGTCCTTATATTCAAACATCAAAGTCCAACTAATGTGATAAATTTTAATTCAGATCTTTTGCAAAATTTGTCCAAATACACAAATGGAAAAATTTCAACTAAATTATTTTAATAATTCTTATTCTGAAGTTATTTAGAATTGTTAGCAGCAGTCCACAAGTGAGGCTGATGAATGATTCAAAAACTGATTTAAGATGATGTTAAGAACTGATGGAAGCACTAACCTTCCTCCCCAAATAGATTTCTTCTCATCGTTCTCATATCTGCCATTCAACATTTTGCTCTTTGCAAACTGATTGTGATTGTGATCATACCTTTCTTGCTGCTCAGAGGCTAATTAATTGGATGGAAATAAAAAGAGTTTAATTAAGATTTACCAGTGTAAACAATTAAAGTTTTTGAAGGTTAATCTCAATGCCAAAACTGCTAGCAAATAATAATTTTAATTATCAGAAGGTGGATATAATATAATAGATTACCACAATTCCATGATACAACAAACATGAGAACTAATTAATTAAATTATTTTAAAAAATATCACAGTTTCTTAAATAAGCATTATGTGCTTAATCACTATGTTGAAAAACATGTCAATAGAAAACTAACAAATTTATGAATAATATATATATATACAGCTTGGTGTTTTTACAAAATAAATTATTTATAATAATTTATTTAAATGTATTTTCATAAAAAAACTCTCCATAATTAAAATTAAATGTATAATAATTTTAATAGAAATAGTGTACTCTACCTATTTCACCACAATCATAAAATTCATCTGGGTCTGAATCAATCATATTTATAGGTAGATGAGAGTCCTTTTTCTTGGCAACTAGTAGACACCAAACAGGTATGTATGAAAGATATGTAATGTAGTATGTGTGTTGTCTACTGTTTATAATATTTATTATATGTTGTATGTTTATGATTTTTGTAGGTGTGTTGTACTACTCTGCTACTGTAGTCTGTTCTAATATATTATTATATATTTAATATAATTATATTGATAATATTATAATCATGATAATATATTATATGTATGTATTTTTGTATGCTGTAACTTGGGATGTGGCTGTTAGTATTAGTTTTATGCTAAGTAAGGAGTTATTATTATATATTAATGATCGATCAATAAATATTTCTAATCTGTGCTGACATGCAATTCAATGTTTTTTGTTTATTCTTATTTTATTACACTGATTACTCTTCTTCCTCCTTCTTTTTTATTATTTTCTAGTTCTGAAAAGTTGTAGTTAATAAAATATTAATGAGAATAAGTTGTTAAAATTAGCAAAAATAAAATAAAAAGGTAAAAATCTTGTAAATAAAAAGTCATTAATTATCGATAATTAAAAAATAAGTTCGCTAGGTGCTAGGTGGATAAAAAATTTTCAAAAAAAAAGAAATATTCCGGACACGGAAAAAAAAGGAAATATTCCGCTAAAATTTACTTATTTTTAGACTTTTGTTACGAAATATTTAAAAAAATTAATCAAAACATTTACAAAACCTAACTGCCAAATTAAATTTAACAAATTAGGAGTAAATTAAACATAAAAAAAATCTCATCAAAATAAAATAAACATCGTAACGTCGTGTCAGTCAGTGTTCCGCTGACTAAACTAAACTAGAGCGAAATAAAATTAAAAAACGAATTGAAGACAACAACAACACAGTAACAACAACTACAACAACAGCAACACAAATACAACAACAACAACACTACTACAACAACTACAACAACAACTACTACAACAACTACAACAACAACTACTACAACAACTACAACAACAACTACAACAACAACACAACAACAACCACTACAACAACTACAACAACAGCAACAACAAAAAATACAACAAAAATGGCAACTACACCTGAATTCACAATGAACATGTACCTTACCTTCTATTATTTTATATATACCTATGCTTACAATTATTTATAACTTATTTTAAAGTATAGCATGCATGCATAACTTAATATAATTAATATATATATATATATATATATAACATATATAACAATAACATATAATCTAATAATAAGGATGTGTAATGAAATGTTCCTCTATTCATGTTATATTTTCATTCGTTGTTCACTCGAGTTCCTCTACTACTATTGTTTGCGTTTGTTCGTCGTTTGTCATATCGTATCATATTTTTCTGTTTTGCTTTGTTCCAATTATAATTATTTATATAATTATCTATTTGAATAAATAGTTTTAGTGATAATTATATATATATATATATATATATATATATATATATATATATATATATATAAATATATTGTATGAACATATGATAAAATCTTGAGAATATATATATAGGTTCATTCAATACATTCAATCATATTCAATTTATTTAAATTTTATCCATATCATCTACCAGACTTATTTACTGTATTGTACATAGCTAAAACATATATGATATTAATATTATATAACATATTACGTTTTAACGATTGCATGTATAAGCTTAACAATTAATGGGAGGTCGTTTGTACTGACTTAATCTGTTGATGCAATTTTCACTAGCAAAAAAATATATGCTTTAATAAATTTAACTATAACAGTGCCTTTAGTTTCAACGCATTATAATTAATTATGTAGCATTTGGTTCA